AGCTCAGCAGTCTCTCGTTGGAGTCTGTTTTTGAAGTTTTTCTGTTGTAATATAGCCATCCGCAGGTCTTGTGGCACCTTAGAGACTAACAAATTTATTAGAGCATAAGCTTTCGTGGACTACAGCCCACTTCTTCGGATGCATATAGAATGGAACATATATTGAGGAGATATATATACACACATACAGAGAGCATATCAACAAAGGATTGAATAAGGACTGGGAATGGCTGAGCCATTACAAACATTGAATCTATCTCCCCTTGTAAGTATTCTCACACTTCTTATCAACCTCTGTGTACTGGGCTAGCTTGATTATCACTTCAAAAGTTTTTTTTTTCCTCTTACTTAATTGGCCTCTCAGAGTTGGTAAGACAACTCCCACCTGTTTATGCTCTCTGTATGTGTGTATATATATCTCCTCAATATATGTTCCATTCTATATGCATCCGAAGAAGTGGGCTGTAGTCCACGAAAGCTTATGCTCTAATAAATTTGTTAGTCTCTAAGGTGCCACAAGTACTCCTGTTCATCTTAGCAATGCCACTTGCATAAAATGAACAGTTTTCAGAAGTATAATCTGAAAGAGGGGAACAGAAACTGCTCTCCCATATAAAGCAAAATACTCATGAGAATACAATTTAATTTTTAGAGATGTAATCAATTAATTTGAAGCAACTTAAGAAGAATGGCTCTAGATTTGGGCAAAAAGGTGAGTCTGGTTCAAGCTGAAATGTAAGGAGAAAATTGAATTGCAAACACTGATTTTTGAGTCAGGCACTATGAGGAAAGCTTTCTTTGCTACCTTTTATGGTTCAAATCGATAGTTTTGTTATGTATATTGATAGCATTTCAACATTTATAATCAAACTATTTAGATATAGTGCTTTTCCCCCCTCAAGCTAGTTACTGGTTGTTATCAGGAAAGACTTGTGGGCATCCTTTAGTCTGAAAGAGACGGTGGGAATTGCAGCCTATGATGTAGATGGTTTGCAGTGTCTCATGTGACTGAATAGACCAATCCGAGATTTGCATGATCTTTGGCAGTTATTGCAAATGTAGATATCTCAGATGGGAGCTGCTTGCTTCCTACGGGCTGTTTTCTCTTCAAGCTATAGGAGCCAGCTCCTGTCATGGACTTTGATACTCTGATGGAGATGATGGTGCCACTTGTTACGATCACTTGCCAAGATTTCCCATTGGTCAGGATCAATTCCAAATTCCTTCATAGCTCACTTGCATGTGTCTTTATAGCAAAGCTTGGGACGTCCTGTTGTTCTTGTTCCCTCTGATAGCTCCCCATATAGCACGTCTTTGGGTATGCGTCCATCTTCCAACCTCAGATGACCCAGCCAGTGCAGTTGTCTTTGCTTGCGCAGGGCTGTCACACTTGGTAAATTTATCCTTTGAAGAACCTCTGCGTTGGTGACTTTATACTGCCATTTGGTGTTGAGTACGAGGCGTAAACAACGTAGGTGGAAACTGTTTATCCTTTTCTCCTGATGAGCATAAGCTGTCCATGTTTCCCCACCATTCATGAGTGTGCAGATGATTCAAGCTTGGTACACTAGCATTTTGGTCTTGATGGTAAGCTTTGAGTTGTTCCATGCTCTTTTAGTTAGTCTGCTAAAGGTGGTGTAGCCTTTTCAATGCAAACATTTAGTTCTTCATCCAGTGAGAGGTAGTGGTCACTGTAGAACCTAAGGCTTGGTCTACACTAACCCCCCAAATCGAACTAAGGTATACAAGTACCTTAGTTCGATCTTACCTCGGTCCAGACGTGGCAGGTAGGCTCCCCCGTCGACTCCGCGGTACTCCTCTCGTCTAGCTGGAGTACCGCAGTCGACGGCGAGCACTTTCGGGTTCGACTTATCGCGTCCAGACAAGACGCGATAAGTCGAACCCAGAACTTCGATTGCCAGCCGCCGAACTAGCGGCTGGGTATAGACGTACCCTAAGTATCAGAGGGGTAGCCATGTTAGTCTGAATCTGTAAAAAGCAACAGAGGGTCCTGTG